CTTGGGTAGGGGGTCCCGAACTGTGCGTCTAAGGTCGATGGTAACAGAAGACAAGGGACACGATGTTTACCCAGGTTCGGGCCCTCTCTATGGAGGTAATACCATACGTCCTGCTTGATTGATATTGGTGAATATGAGTATTACAAGAGTTGATCTACCTCAAGATCGTAGTGGCTAAACCCCAGAGGTCTAGCTTGTATGGCTATGATAATGAGTCTCCCCTATCCGGACTAAGTCCTCCGGTTTATATAGACACCGGGAGGATCTAGGATTACATAAGGTCGGTTACAAAGAAATGAATCTACATATTCGACGCCAATCTTGCCTTCCCACGCCAAGGAGAGTCCCATCCGGACACGGGTGCAATCTTCGGTCTTCGTATCTTCATAGCCCATCAGTCCGGCCTATGGCCAACAGGCCGGACGCCCGAGGACCCCTTAGTCCAGGACTCCCTCACCAACCGAGGGCACTGCCGCGACGCGTCACCGGTGTCCGCGCCTATTCAATGCCGAAGAGGCGTGACTAGATGGGACGGGACATATATCTACCGCGCCCGTTCAATGTCGTTGTCCGTCCGTCTGTCGCCATTAAGCAGACTTGTCGCCCGAGAAACCCACTCCGGCGACGCGCATTGATGCACCTAGACGCCTCGTCTCACCAGAATCCTCTATATAAAGGCGGTCACACCCGTCTAACTCCACACTACAACACAAGCCCCTCCACATCCTCCTCCCTTGCACTGTATCTGCCATGACCGCCAGCGGGAAAGCACTATGGGACAGTCTATCGCTGGAGATGAAGCAGGCGGTGGCCGCCCTTGCCGCCGCCTAGCATAGCCGTCGTGCCAGGCGGATCGAGGCTGGCTTGCCGGCCAGCTCGCCCGAGGTCTCCGATGACGAGGACGACACCATGATGGAGGCAGGTTCCAACGACTCCACCCCGGCTCTCGCGCCTTCTGTGCACGCCGACTTCACCATGAAGCAGGCGCATACGCAGTTCAACGCCGCCATGGCGAAGGTGCAGCCTGCGTCGCCGCCTTTGTTGGCGTTCCAGCAGGCGCAGGAGGAACAACAGTACAACTTGTTCCTCCTGGAGCAGCACCGGATGGTGGAAGGCCAGATCTACGGCGAGTGCGCGAGCAAGGAGGCCGTGGTGGCCATGGCCGTGGCGAACCCAAATTTCTTCGTGGAGTAGCATGCCATATACGATGCCGTCCGCGCTCAAGCCGCCACTCACCAGGAAGTGGGAGCTGCGAAGGCGTAGCTGTAGGCGATCACGGAGGAGAACAACGGCAGCTACTCCTCCTACGCGCCGCCGACGAACCATCAACTGGCCCGGTGGGACGATGACAACCAAGGCGTCACCATTTCCCTCGTGGACTTTACGTTCACTGGCGACGGGCAAGGCGTGGACTCCTCCGAGGATGAGTAGGCCACGGGAGGCGGCAGTGCCTTGTGTCCCATGTGGGTCCGTCCGTCTCCCGTGTTATCCTCTTCCTCGCTGGAGACGACACCCTCACTTCATCGGTCTTATCGCCGGTGCTCATGAAGATGGTGGAAGGAGGACTACACGGGCTTGGACGTCGAGCGGTGTGGGTCTTTTTTTTGGTTCTAAATGTTCGAATTGTAGTTAAATGTGCCGTGTTGGTATGAAATCTGTCATGTTTTTTCAAAATCCGGCCGTGTTTGCATGAATTTCACCAGGTTTGTTAAAAAGTAATTTGAAATGTATGCGAGTAGCGTTCGATGTCGACTTCCCGCATCTGTGTCCATGGACTGGTTCACCCATGTCCGCGGACAGATGCAGGTTTTTGCGGGTTGCCGTTAAGGATGCCCTCAAAAGCTGCATTTGTTTTTTTAGAAATAGCAGCATTGTTTCTTGGTTGCAGAGAATTCGATCAGGGGCTTTTTAACCCCGGACGGTTGTAGTATTTGAGATCCTAGAAAATGGCCCATATGTTTCAACGAGATTTTTTCTCAAAAGCTACATCGTTCTTTGGTTCCAGGGAATTGGCTCACAGGCCTTTTAATCCGGGACGGCTATAGTATTTGAGAGAATTGATCAAAATGCAATGGTAACAAATAGGACCGTGGTTGCAAAGGTAAAATAGATTGACGTATATTTAAATTTAGCGAGAGTTGCATGCATCAACACTTTAGTTCTAGGTTTCGCACAGGTCAACACACTTGTCGTTCCTCATCTATCCCCATGTGCCTCTTCGCTAATACCAACGACCACTGCTGCAACCCCTTGTGGCAATAGCCGGCGTTGCTGCAGCCAGCTAGACGCCATTCATCACTGGCATGGTAATTTGCTGGGACCTGGGATTTTGATTTTTAATTATTGCAGGATGGTAATCTGTTGTATGTTGCTTTTACCTTCTGAGGAGCAAGCAAATTATATTTTGTACTGAATGTTTTGACATTCAGCATGTATGTACTATAACTACTGAAGGACAATAATACCCAATGCATTGCCTTCCATGAACTATCTGTTTTGTTTCAAAAAAATTCATAAATTAAAAAAAATCATGTTTTCAAAATTTGTTCACAACTTCAGAAAATGTTCGGGGCATTTCACAATTTCTTGTGGTTTGAAAAATTATTCATAATTTCGAAAAATGTTAGTCATTTTCAAAAAAAATGTTTCTGTTAAAAAAAATCACAAATTCGAAAATACTCATCTTTCCTTATTTTTTTGCAAATTCAAAAAAATTTAGGGGGATTTCATAAAATGTTAGTGTTTTGATTTTTTTTTCATAATTTTAGAGCATATTCGCATTTTTCAATTTTTTTCTTGTTAAAAAAATGATCACATTTTCAAATAGTTGTTCATAGGTTGAAAAAATGTTTTCATTTTCAAAAATTTCTCTTTTTGCAAAACATGTTTGAGATTCCCAAAAAATGTTTGAGTCATTAAGTTTTTGTTAACGTACTTTGAAAATGTTCGTTTTTACAAAAGTATTTACTTTTCTGAAAAAGAAAAACACATTCAAAATTCAAAAAAGTTTACAACTTTCGCTGCCTATAGTTTATATAAACTGAGCTGCAATTTTTAGACAACAAATTGAAGAATTACAGTGGCTAGATGGGTGGTTAACTCATGGGAGTAGCTGTTTTTATGTTTTGTTATGCTGCAAGACTTGCATTAAGCCTAGCCATAGTGGGGGTATCTTAGCTAGTATCGTGCACTTGGGAATAGCAAACACGTTGATGTGGCAAAAAATTAAAAAATAGAGAAAGGGTTAGAGTAACATAGGTAAATAACATACAATATTAAATACTACGCTACTTTGTGTCATGCATGGCTATAAATAAGATAATCTATGATATTACTCTATGATACTATACACTATGAAGATAATATCATACACTAGTATCATATGCATGATACTAGTATATGATACTCCCCACTATGAGTAGCCTAAAGTCAGCCGTTCCCACTGGCTAGCAGCACGGGGCTTGCTGCCGTTGGTTGCGGGTTTGATTCCCTTGTGAGCCACTTTTTTTATTATTTTTCACCAGACGAAAAGACGAAAAATCAAACCCGAGCGAGAGGATTCGGGGAGAACGGAAAATGTTAGTCCTACGACTGACGAAAAAATATCTTGGTCCCTCCAGAAACAAAAAAAAGTAGAGAAACAATATTTTTTTTAATATCAGGTATATATAAATATTTTATTTGAATGTCCATGTATTGCATAGTTGGGAACCGAGAAGAACAACTATTTCTCATGTTTGCGTTTGATGGCCACGCTATTGAATTGCAGTTGCAAGTTTTATCTCTCTCATTCTCACTATCACGTGTATGGCCTATGATCGAGCAGTATCCGGAGGGAGGCAAGTGCAGGCTAAACTTCTTACGAGCACGATAGACGTTCATGCGCTAGAGCAGCGACAGAGCTCTTGGGAGGTGGGATGGGGGCGATGGATGAGGACGAGGACAGCGGCGGAGCTTCCTGCTCGTCTCCTCCATGGGCGTCACCAGATCTCCTCGGGTGGCGACAGAGCTCCCTGCTCGTCTTCTTAATGGGCGGCGGCGAAGCTACATCTCCATCATGGATGGCGGTATATCTCCATGAGCGGTGGTTCAACTCCTTCCTTAGGCCCATTCGTGGGGGCGGATCTTCACAAGAGATGTTTTTGCTCTCACTAAGAAACATGTTGTAAACTTGCTTCGTCGCCTAGCTATCTATTAAGACTTGGTTGAGAACTAGAATTAGTCCTCCCTTCTTAATGCGACGGACCAAGGATCCCCTTGTAGGTTTCGAAATGGGCCACATCAAGCGGCACATGACGCATAAACAGTAGGATCTAGAAGACTTACGTGCACGCCAAGAAGCCTAATTTTGTGGAAGATTCAGTTTCCTCATATGTAGCCGACTAGGTGTTGTAACCCTAGCACCTCTGGTTATAACCAAGGGGCTAGGCTTGTAGATGACAAATTACATTCTTTGGGTTGACACTTGCACTTTATACTTACTTCGACACCATAAACACAAGCAGGACGTATGATATTATCTTCTCAGAGAGCCCGAACCTAGATAAAAACCGTGTCCTTGGTATCATTATGCTTAGACGCTTAGCTTGGAATCCCCTACCTCGAGATCAGCCGGATTTACCTCCGTCAGCCGCTAGCCCCCGTCTGCCCGCCGTCACTCGAACATCAGTCAGGAACACAAACTTTGTGTATTCGCGAAAAAAAATCAGCTTGTATCACATTTATGTTCTCACTTCAACTTCTTCTCCTATATCAGTGATGAAAGATACGCAAACTTTGTGTAATCGTGAAAAAAAAAACATTTATGTTGGCACTAAGTAAGTACGCTTTCGTGCTGCGGTCACGGTTTTCGAGTCTGCCTAAATCGGCACAGAAGTGAGCGGCCGTCTGCCCGTCTCACCACGAACCAAAACCAGACCAAATCTTCGGCGAGCCCATCGGCACATTCTGAGAGCGGAGAGGAAGCAGGAGGCGGCGGATCAAGGAGAGGAGACTAGAAGATGGGTGGCGGCATGGAGGTGAACAAGAACCGCTGGATCGAGGAGTGGAACGCCGGCCGGGAGAACCTCGAGCTCAACTTCCGCTTTACCCGCCGCAGCCTCGCCGTCATCGGCCTCTTCGGCCTCGCCGTCCCCATCCTCGTCTACAAGGGCATCGTTCGCGAATTCGTAAGATCCAGACCCATCTCTGCCCGCATCTCGTTCTCTGTTCCCCGAACCCTAAAACAAATCTGGGCGTGTGTGGTTGGAATGGATGCAGCATATGCAGGACGAGGACGCCGGCCGGCCGTACAGGAAGTTCCTGTGAGCGTCGCCTCCGGTGGATGTCGAGACTCCGAGCCGTCTGCAGGGTTTCGGTCAGGGAGAAGGAATCTCCATTCGGTTTGTTTCCCGTACTGTTGTAGTCAGACCGGAGTATTTTGTTCTCACATGTTGTGCGATATGTGTTAAATAAGATGTAATGAAATGCTGTTCTTGCAATTGCTGAAACCTGAGAAGTCTGATTTGGTTAATTTGAGGTGAATATTTGTGTTATGCGATGTTATTTATGCTTGGATCAAATGGGGAGTAATATCAGGCGAGTGTGTGGCCTTCTAACAATATCAATCATGTTTGTGTGCTTAGTTATTAGTTGACCACCCTGGTATTTAAGATTGATTCTGGGTCTGCAAGCATTGACGTTTTACTGGGCATACCTGCATAGAGCGAGTGTATTGGGAGTTCTATCAAGAATTAGACGACATTTGATTGTTACCTTCATATACGCTCGAAGTTCTTTTTATCTGTGTTCATTAGTCGCAGTGTCCTATCAGTTTTTATCTAGAGCCTCTTCTGGTTTTGGATCCCCATGAAGGCATTAATTTACTTCCGACCGTTATCTATACTGATATATTGAGTGGATGCTTGCTAGATATGATGCCTTTATGGCTTGAATTGTGCTCTGCCCAAAGTAGTTCCCAGTTTATTCGACTGGTATTTTCTGTGTATGTGCTTTATGTTTGGGCCACAGTTTATGACAATAAATTACATACATGGTGTATTTACAGTTTTGCTTGTACGTGTACATCCTATCCTGTCCACCGGAGCATTCATTTCTATGTGCCAATTTCACGACATTCAATACAGATGAACCTATCTGTTACAATTTTGATAGTATTGCATAAACTTCTTGAACAGTAGGTAGATGTATTTCAGTGAGAACTGTGGTCAAAAAGCAAGGTTTGAATTAATATACAATTTTTCCTGGTATGCTTTCTAGAGTTAATGGCATATGTGTTCTAGCAGGGCATGTCAAACTCGTTGCTTGAGCCATATTTGACTGTCATTTTGATATGGTATAAACATCTCTCTTTGTGCAACTAAAAAAGGCATAGTATCAACACTAAGGATGGACATTAATCAGTTGTCTTCACTTATGCATGGAACATTTCAACAAACTAGAAATGAAGTGAGGCATGAGTACAGGATCTGTCAGTATATATGTACTAACACCTTTCTATAACTGAGTTCTCTGCTTTCTTGAGGTCTTTCATTAGCTGTTGTTCTACACATGATAGATTTTGTGATATTCTCATCTTGGAAGCATTAGTGTAGTGTTGTTTGGTTAAAGGGTATGTTTAAGCCGAGTCAGTGTAGGATAGTAATTTAGCTTTTGCTTCATGTGGAAAAATGGCATCGTATTACCTTTATTAACTCAAGATCTTAGAAGAAGCTGTGTGTAACATATTTGTTTTATTTGACTGGACATGATTGTTTGGTCATGCACCATCATATGTATGTTATTGTACTTTCTACTTTCAGAATACTAAATAACGTATATCTAAAACAGATTTAGTTAGATGGTTCTCAAAGCACATGTTTTGTGTTGGATACCTCCTCCTTTATCAGTGATTAGAATATCACTTGAAAGTAGGCTAGAGGTGTGTTGAATCAGCTTGTCATTTTTAAAAGCCTCTAAAGTATGCTAGAGGTGCGTTAATCCTTTGACATAATCTCACTGTCGACTGATAATCCTTACATTCCCATAGATGCTAGTGTTATGCAATTTTGTCAAGTGTCAAGGTGGCATTCAAGTTAGTGTGGAACATCACTTGTCCACTCTGGTTACGTATTTACTTAAAACGGAGTCCTGTTTAGTTTGTTGCTTCCAAAACCTAAACCTGCTGGGTACTCGAGCTTGTCATTTAGGTTAAATGTAAAGTCTCTATGTTAACTGCTAACCCGCAATCCAAGTCCATAGCCTGGATTATTAGGCATGAGCCTTTTTTCTTGCTTAAGATAGCTAGCTTCATGTGATGTCTTCATGTCATATATGTTCTTGTTTACTTTGTTGCTTCCAAAACCTAAACCTGCTGGTGCTTATCATTTAGGTTGAATGTGAAGTCTCCAGGTTACAACTGCTAATCTGCAATCTAAGTCCTTCATAGCCTGGATAATGCTTCTACTCCCTCCGTTCCTAAATATACACTTTAAACTACGTCTACATACATCTGTAGATGTGATGTATTTTTTTTTCCTGTGGATTTTTCAAAAATAATAATTTGAAACTGCGGTAGTTTGATTTGCTTGGGATGAGCTTTGCCCACCCTTCTGAGCATGTCAATGATGAAAATATTTACCTGTGATAAATTACTACAGTAATAGTTTGGGCGGCTCTTGTTTATTTTGCAACAGTCAAGACTTTGGCAACTCGTTATAGAAGAACAGCGATATTCTAGTTCTAGAATAAATTTGATTGCATCATGTAAGGTCACCTAGCATTGGGGTCATTGTGAGGCTCCGCGACCTCGGACTAAATCCAATCTACGCGGTACTAACAGATGTATTGACGTACATAAAAAAAAACAGATGTATTGACGTCTGCAATCATCATATTAAGAGTGATGAAGAATCGGCAGCCATAGTGGGTAGTGGGAAATGTCGAGCACGAAGGGTGAAAAAGGAACTCAAACGGTGTGAATAGTTTAGCCTTAGCCAACTTGTAATTCTGGTTTGCCCACTAGGGCGGCTGTATCCAATTTGCAGCTTATCCAACCATACAGATTCATGGACGGATTGACCGAGCCAAACCATTCCCTAGATAACAATATATACCGTTGCCTTTGCCTTTACACAACCCCTCCAAAAGAGTACATGACATGTGTTAGATTATAAACTATTCCCCCTGTTACTAGAAAAGGATAATTCCACCTCAAAGAATCGAAGTGGAATGGATGATCCTCATTGAACATCACTTTTTCTTTTAGAGAATAGGCTACGAGTGCTCAGCTTTATTTCCATAGAAATTTTAAAGGATTATAATTTTTTTTTCTATGTTAGTTGTTTGATTCATAGGATTGAATTCTACAAGAATTTTTCCTAAGGATTTATTTGTACTACTTTCCATAAGATTTCTGCATCCACTCAAATCTTTTTGAAATAATTCTTTGTTTTCTCTACGATGCAATCAAACAATCCAATCGTATGTTTTTTCTGTTCCCGCGTTTTTAGGATCATGTGTATCAAAGAGGCCCAAACTACATTTCATCAAAGGTCAGTTCTCAAGAGTCATGACGAATTCAATCTGCTTAATTATTTCGCACCACAATGTCAACGCCTTCTCCACGCTGCAGCTCGTCATCACCCTGTTCGAGCAAAAAGTGTAGCTCGTCACCACCCTACATGCTCCAGCAAGAGAACGACCACCGCCTTCATCAACCCATCACCGTCAAGACCGTGTCCACCTCCAGTCCTCCACCATCGCCTCCACCTCTGTTGGTTCAATCATCACCCAGTTCAGCAAGCATACCACTGTCCCATTTAGAGTGCCGCCGTGCTCCCTCCTATCCTTTGGAAAACAACAGCCACATTCCCACTTTGGGCAACACCTTGCCACAACCATGGTTTCTCATACCTTCAGTGCCACATTCATCTCAAAAAAAAAAGGTGCCACCTTGGGAAGGATACCTGGGTTCTTTTCTAAAAAAATCATTCATAGGTTCCCCTAAAAAAGTCTTTTTTTTAAAGATCCAGCAATCGCTGGCTTTTCATATCATTAGCAGAAAGCAGTGGGAAAACAAAGGTGTGTTGGAAGGTCCTAAGACCAGTACAGAAAAGATTACAACAAGCTCAGCTTCGGTCTAGGCTTTGCTGACCGAAAAAGTGGAAAAAAAATAATGGCCTATATCTCATGGCGGATCACAGAAGGGTCTCTCCAAGCATGCTGCGCCCGCCTGCCGCCAAAGATGCACTGAATTTTCGATGGGCTTGGCGATGTCCCTTGCAGCCGGCTGCTTGCCTCTGAAAATGCAGCTGTTCCGCTCTTTCCATATCTCCCAGCAAGTCAAAAGCATGATCCTGCTGGCGCCCTTCCGTTTGGCCGGCGGGGTCTTGCTGATCATCCGTTGCATGATCGCTTTAGAGTTGGAATTTTGCCATGAGTGGTGTGGAGCTAGCTGTCGGCATCCTTCTCTTGATCCCATCAAGTCCCAGACCTCAAGCGCTGTTTGGCATGACCAGAACAAGTGGTGGGTCGACTCCAGGTTGCGGACACAAAACTGGCAGAAATAGTTGTTTGGCCAACCGCGCCGTTGGAGACGATCATTTGTCCAGAGGCGATCTTTCAGTAGCAGCCAAGCGAAGAATTTGATGTTTCCTGGTGCCCATGTTTTCCAAACGAGCTCATCCAAAGCTGATAGGATCCGTCCCTGGAACTGCATGGCATATGCTGACTTTGATGTGTATTTGCCTGTTTCCTCGTGGTTCCATCAGATTGTATCCCTCTCCCCCTCCCGGAGCTCCGGGGCAGCGGCGATGATCAAGCGGTTGAGCTGGATGAACTGCTGTAGCAGCGGCTGCGTGTCTCCATGTCTCAGGTCTTCAATCCAAGTGTCGTTTCTAAGAGCTTCTTGAACTGTCTTGTTTTTGCGCTTGGAGTGGTTGAGGAGGGCTGGGTAGGCAGTGGCCAGCGTGATTGGGCCGATCCAAGAGGAGTGCCAGAACAGGGCTGTTGAACCATCCCCAATTGTTACCATCGTCGCAGCCGCAAACAGAGCTTTGTCTTCCCCGTTGCATGGTGGTGTCGTGCCCACCCATGGGCGGTCCGGATCAACCCAGGGGATCCAGAGCCATCGCAGTCGCAAGGCACGGCTGAAGCGGTCCAGGTCCGGGATGCCCAGGCCCCCCTGGAGGTTGGCGCACACACCACAGGCCAGCTTACTTTGCAGCTGACCCCCGTCAGCTCGTCATCCTGTTTCCATAGGAACCGGCGTCTGCACTTGTCAATTTCTTTCAATAGCTTCTTTGGAACTTTTAGTACAGTGAGCGCAA